CATTATTGTCTTATGACTACATGATTAGGATTGTTAAAAAGACTCTTTGTTCGTGAACAGCTTATGTTCGGCTCGTTAAGCAAACTAGCCGAACACACGAACAAACTTTTTGAGCTCGAAATATTTACATACAAACCATCCATTTTTTATGTATTTACATATCAAACACTTAAATTTTATTTCGTTATATTTATAATATCAGATGTTTTGCATCACATAAAAAATATCAACACACTTGAAAGAAAATGACATACACCTTTCAACACATGAGTAAGACTCCACGGATGTAAGAAAGCAGAAGTTAGGGGTTAGATCACTAAATAAATAGGCATTGAGGGTTATGTATGCAAAAACTTCCTTTAAAAACAATAAATTTAAGTTCCTTTAATTATATAACAGTTATTTATGCAAATATCTCAATATTTTTATAAAATACTACTCTGCTGTAATTAAATGTCATGTTCTATTGACAAATTTTAATGGCAGGTACTCTTGATTTGTTAGACGTTGGAGACCGCTCCCCCATTCGCGCCCGAACCCGCCTTCCCGCTCCCGATGTTCGCGTAACCTGTTCCCGCCTCCCTCAGTTTCGCGAATTGACGCCCGATCCCGCTTCCGATCGCGAATAGTCGCGTCCCTTCACCAGAAACCGCTCCCGCCTCTATTTTGGGAAGCGAAGCATCCCTTCGTTTACTTCTCTTCGTGATAAAAGGAGAGACTCTCCTTCATATCTATATGTCACAAGAATTCACGATTTTCTTCTTTAGGTTTCCTCGGGATAGAGGAAGAGTTCTTCGGGTTTCCACGGGACAGTGGAAGAGAAGAAGTGCAAGGAGGAGTAGTTTCTTGCGGCAGAAGGAAGAAGAGGAAGATTGTTCTCCATAGGCTTCTCTTGGTGGCTTGTGGCAGAAGAGAAATTGAGTTTATTTCTCTTGTAAGTTTGTCTTCTTCGGTATATCTCGGTGTAGAGTTTTCTTCGGTGTATCTCGGTGTAGAGAGAGAAGAACAGAGAGAGAAGAAGAGAGAGAGCAACGAAGAGGAAGAAATTCCTCTTGTAAGTCGAGGTGATCCACTGGTGCAAATTTTCTCAAGTAGTAAAATCCTCTGCAACTCTGTGGACGTACGCAATTTGCTGAACCACGTAAATCTGTGTTCTTTCATGGTGTAATTTTTTCTCGTTCTATTTTTCACTTCGTCGATCGTAATTTTTCGCTTCGTCCACATCAATTGCTCTTGTATACATATTCATAACATGATTCTCCCTCTTTTTTATATACACTCTTGTATATATATTCATAACATGATTCTCCCTCTTTTTTATATACAAACAATTATTTGCCTTAATAAATTTATTATCTGGGAGTAGAACAAGCGAAGAATCGCCACAGATCACGCCACCACGTCCTCCCAAATGTTTCCAATAATAATTCAGCTTTGCCATTGCGTGAATTTGTCTTCAACTTCTTCTATGTCCACATTTAACATTGATTTCTCAGACCTTATCCCTCGTTTCCTCGCAATTACAAATGGGCCACCGCCCAAATCAATTCCTCTTCTTTTACATTCCCTTCACATTAATCTAATAGTTGACCTTCAACTTCATCCCACTATAAAAGCATTCCTACTTCCCTTCTTCCTTCCACAACGAGTGATTTAAGAAGCCTTACAAAAAATGGCTGTTCCGGTGATCGACTTGTCGAAGCTTGAAGGCGAGGAGAGGGCGGCGACAATGGCGGAGATAGCCGTTGCTTGCGAGCAGTGGGGCTTCTTCCAGGTTGGGCTTCCTTTTCTGCAACCTTCATTGATTAACTCTTAATTCCATAACTAAGCTAGCATTATTGGTACCTTCATATAATAATTAATTATGAATATCATGATAATAACATTTGCAGTTGGCGAACCATGGCATTCCGTTAGATCTTCTCGATCGAGTTAAGAAGGTTTGTTCGGAGTGTTATAGGGCGGAGAGAGAAGAGGGTTTCAAGGATTCCATGGTTGTTCAGCTTCTCAATGACTTCATCGACAGTGGAGAAGTTGGCAAGACATTGGATGATGTCGATTGGGAAGACGTTTTTCTCCTGCAGGATGACAACCATTGGCCATCCAACCCACTTCAGTTCAAGTAATGATTTTTAACAAAAACTCCATCAATCCCAATTTTTTTTTTTACTTCTATTAAAGTATTCCTGTTTTCTTTATGAATGAATTCTATGCTGTAATTAAGGATATGAACTAAAAATCTCTGCTTTATGGATTCTGTTTCTGGTACTGATGGTTATATGCCCGTAGGGAGACGATGAAAGAATACCGATCGGAGCTGAAGAAGCTGGCAGAGAAGATGCTGAACATTATAGAAGAAAACCTCGGCCTCAGCAAAGGGTACATCAAACAGACCTTCTCAGGCAACGGGCAATACAATCCCTTCTTCGGCACAAAAGTAAGCCACTACCCGCCCTGCCCGCGTCCGGACCGCGTCAGCGGCGTTCGGGAACACACCGACGCCGGAGGACTCATCCTCCTCTTCCAAGATGAAAAGGTCGGCGGCCTTCAAGTGCTAAAGAACGGGCGGTGGATGGAGGTGCAGCCACTCGCCAACACCATCGTCATAAACACCGGAGACCAGATAGAGGTGATAAGCAACGGCCGTTACACAAGCGCGTTGCACCGCGTTCTCGTGTCGGGGAATTGTAACTACAACCCTGCGGTGGAGGCGGTGATAGAGCCGGCGGTGCTTGGCGGCGACGGCGACGAAGTAAGCAAAGTGTATCCAAGGTTCCTGTTTGGGGATTATATGGAGGTTTATGCCAAGCAAAAGTTCATGGAGAAGGAGGTCAGGTTTCGGGCTATGGGGATTAATTAATGAATGTTTGCATAATTTGTTGATTATGTGTATTAGTTTGGCTTGTAAGGAGACTTATTTATTATATGTTGTTATCTAGTTGATAGCAAAATTAGTATGATTACTTAGTTGTAAGCATGCATCTTTCAAATGATGTCAGCTATGCATGTTATAGATCCTGATGTTTAATTATGGTTTGTTTAAAATCTTCAATTCTACTTGTATTTAACCTCTCTCTCTCTCTCTCTCTCTCTCTCTCTCTCTCTCTCTCTCTCTCTCTCTCTCTCTCTCTCTCTCTCTCTCTCTCTCTCTCTCTCTCTCTCTCTCTCTCTCTCTCTCTCTCTCTCTCTCTCTCTCTCTCTCTCTCTCTCTCTCTCGCTCTCTCTATATATATATATATATATATAATGAAGCTCATTGATAGGATTTAAGAAAACTAAAAACATGATCAATATTATGTTGATTTTTTAATTTCAAAATTATATTTCTTTTAATTTCTTAAAAAATAAAAGCTAATGTTTAATTAGTACCATTATTACTAATGTTAATTGAATAGTTTATTATAAATGTATCAGTAATATTTAACACTTTAATAATATTGTCCAATATATACATCATAAAACAGGTTTTTTTGGGCCAATCAGTTTCTATTTTCATTCGCGAGGAAGAAACTATAACACACTATAGTTTATGTTCATATATAACTTGACCAAAATATGAACTCTGACATATAAAATATTAGTCAAATCGAATAGAAATTACGTCTGGACACCGCACGTCCAATCATGGGAAGCCATATCGGTGTAAATTCACGTGTATGCTATGGCCTCCCGTGATTAGAGGGCAAAGGTTCAAGAGGAGATGGAGACCAATACTGTGGATCAATCAATGAAAAGGCCAGAGGACAACAACGGAAATGGAGAGCAATAAAGTGGTTAATTAAGCCGAATGGCCTACTTCCACTATGAGTATTGAATCCTAAATTGTCTTTTTATGAACACGCCATGAGAGTTAGAACAGGATGAAAGAAAAAAGAAAGAAAATGTAGAATAAGTTCATAATTCACTGTAAAAAGAACTGGGAGAGATCCTTTTATTTGTATTTTTGCTCCTATTTATAGAGGCTTGTTTTATACAATTACATAAAGGGCAGAACAATTATGGAAATCGCTCTAAATATAATTAAAGTTCTAATTAATCGTATAGATTTCATACCATAGATGTATTAAAATTTGAATTCTAAGATGACGGTAATTGACTGGCCGACATGCTTGAATTCGACCGACTGAGGCGACCGGGTGAGTGGATATTTCGCCTTGTGTTGGTCAGCTGAGAAGCTCGGTCGAGCATCGATCTTGTCAGCCGCGGTAAAAGTGGGTCAGCTGATTAGTCACGATCAATGATTCCCGCATGCGCTCTGATCATTCAAAACTACAGACGTAGTTAGTCGTTCGGATCTCTCGCCATAGCATGTTAGTCAATTCTTGATCACACGTTTAGTTGTAGGATGATGAGACGCCTCGATCGTCTAGGCCGTTCGATTGCTTTGAGATCCATGCTGACAGAGTTCCCTAAATTTTTCTGCTCTTTGAAAGTGACAGCTATGATAAGAACAGAGAAATTATTAGCATTTGTTTGTATTAAATTCGAAAAAAAATTTAAATGATTATCTTCCCCTTAGATTTTGTGCCCACTGTGCTCTATAAATAGGGTCACAGGCTTGACATTACATCAGTTGTGATTATTCTTCCCTAGATAATAGAACTGCACCATGTCAAACTATCTGAGATAGCTCCTCGAGAAACCCAATATCCTTGCAAAGGTGGGCTACTAACCCTCAACTTCTGTAAAGAAGAGCGGGGTTAGGAAAGAAAACAATCAAGGATCAAACCTGCATTGGTTGATCAAGTTGGCTCATTTGGGGATCCTGAGTGATAGGTGTCGAAGGCCCCTAGTCGAGAGGCCGTGGTTCCTGAGCCTGGCACAGGAGTGAGCTCCGAGGGCCAACAGGCCCTACTTTCTGGAGGCGCCGAGGAAACAAAGATCGATATCTCTTCTCAGTCGTTGATGCAGGAAGGTGAAAGCATCTCACAACAAGAGAAGGGGAAAAGATGTTTGGAGACCCTTTCCTCAATAGATAGATTTATGAGTGCATAGAGCTTTCTTTGGCCTCCATCGGTCTTTAATGTCTTATTGACATTATTCATATGCAGATGAATTAGCCGAGTCGAAGGATCAATAGGACAGCGGGTTGTCAAAAGACGTCGCGACATATATTCTTGTTGCGGTGTCGGTCTGCAAGCCGAGCTCACGGGAATCCTGCCAACAATTATTTTGGGAGGACACTGGTCGCCCGACTTTTTGCATGATACTAGTACTGAACAAGATTGAATGGAGCAGCGGCCGCCTTCCCTTGGAACCATGGAGCAATAGACAGGGAAGACCAGGTCCTCGACGGTGAGGGTTCAAAGGGAGCTGCTAAAGGCTTGGCTACCAATTCTGAACGGGGGCTCTCAGTCCCTCTGCTGTCCATGGGCTCGATCGTGGTGGCCCTACAGGCAGAGGTCGCCACTTTACGAAACAAACTGGACTAAGTATTGTGCAAGCTTGATGCACTTTGCAAGTCGACCGACCAGTGCAAATTCCACCACAAGATCAATCGAATGGAACAACTTAAGATAGCAGGGGTGATGGTCCTCTGAACGTTAACTCAGAGGGGGTACGTCCCGACTAAGGCCTTACAAAACACTTTATCATATTGTAAATAAAACAACATTTGAATAAATTTAAAAATATATTTGATATGACACTTATCTTTATATGACGCATCGTTTTATGTGTTCGTACTATAAATAAAGAACGTAATTGTTGCTCCTTACTTTACACATTTTGATTTCTACATCCAAACTTTTTATATTCATTCCTCTCTTGTTCTGCCTTTTGACCGCTCTTTGTTTTCTGAAATGGCCACAGAGTACTCCCTTACCCTCTTCGGCTCCTTCAAGAGTGAAATGGCCACGGAGTACATCCAAACTTTTTATAGTAGATTGGGTATTGTTTTCCTGCCTCATCTCGAACCAGAAGTGAGCTTACAACCTCTTGTCCTTTGAGATACAGTGACAACTCTTCTGTCGGCTTCAGGCTCTGAAGCAGTGGTAGGGATACTAAAGAATCTTTCAAGTTTCTGAATACCTCCTCACATTTGGTCGTTCATTTGAAATGCTTAAAGAATGCCTCACACTTCTTGCCTAACTTTGGGATGAAATGATTGTCGCCGACAATTAGATTGGTTAGTCTCTGAATTTCCTTGGCACTCCGGGGAGCGGCATGTCTAAGATCGTTTGTACTTTTTCCAGATCGACTTTCAATCCTTCGAAAGTCAGTAGGAAGCCAAGGAATCTCCCGATGGAAGCCCAGAAGGTGCACTTGGAAGGGTTTAACCTCATAACAAATTTTTTGAGTGTTCTGAAGGTCTATTTTACATCTTCGATGTAATGTTTGACTAACTTACTAACTCATTACCGAGTATCGGACCACTGCATCAACCAATGTGCCAATCTTTGGCAAGGGTAGGTGTCCTTTGGGCAAGTGAAGTTAAGGTTGGTGAAGTCGAAACGCATCTGCCACTTTTCGTTGGCTTTCCTGACCATTAGAACGTTCGAGAGCCATGTTGGGTATTGGACTTCATGGATGTAGCAGACGTTCAACATCAATTATACCTCCACTGCTATCGGCTCGACCAAAGTTCTAGCGGTTAACCGAAATTCTGTTGGATCATACTAGAATAGGGGCTTATGTTCAGTCGGTGGCACGTGTGTCAATTGAAATGCCCAACATTTCTGCTGCGGTCCAAGCAAACACCTCTCAATGCTCTAAGAGAGTCTGTATCAGTTGGTCCCTGAACCCTGCATAGAATTTTCCTTACTGGTTCTTCGTCGGACACAGGTACCTGGAGGACGGCCTCACTGGTCTCGAGACCCTCTCCCTCTAGATCTGAATATCAAGTGGTTCATGGTTAAGATTTGAAACCGCTTGCTTCAGACTCCTCGTTTCAAGGCTGTTACGACTGTATCAGGCTTAAGATCTCTAACTTCCAGCATCTCATTCTGGAAATGAGAGATGTAGGCTCGCAAACTCTCGTTTTCTCCTTGCTTGAGGTCGAGCGAAGTGTCTGAGTTTTTCTCGGCTTCTGTACGTTTGAGAAGTGCGAAACGGAGAATCTTTTAAATTCATAGTAACTTGAGACAGTTTCGGTCGACAAACTGTTGAACCACCGACAAGCCGACTAATTCAGGGTGGTAAGAAAAAGACGACATATTATGTGGTCATCGATTTGGAGGAAACTGACTGACAGCTCGATGAGGCTACATGATCGATCAAGTCGGTCCTCCCTTTATAAGAATCCAAGTGAGAGATCCTTAGCTTGGGCAGGGGTACAACCTCTTTGACTTGGCAAATAAAAGTAACTCCCGCGAGAGGCCGGACAGGCACTCGCATCTGATCTTCCCATTGCAGATGTGGTTGTGTCAGTGGGATGGGACACGCCTTGTCATTGCATGTTCGCCTATATAGATGTGGTTGTGTCAGTGGGATGGGACACGCCTTGCCCCTCTATCCGCTAGTTGTTGATCTGGTTGTCCGGAATAGGCGAGTTGTCTGGTGGGGCCCTTTGGGACGAACTCCCTGAGGTTCCGCTTCCAGAAGAGGTATCTGGTTATTCCTCTGAGTTATTGCTATATGGAGGACCTCAAATTGCTCCATCATGAGAGCGATTTGGGCTTGTAGGCCTGGACCTATGTATGAGCCTCTAGTTGTTTAGCATCTCTGTTGGGTTCTATGCGTGCTATCTCACTTGGGAAGTTTCTTCTTCGTAGTCTTTTCCATTTTTCATCTGTGACATGATCCACACTCACCGCACCACCTTTTAGGATATTAAATCTTAAATTATCGTTTGTGAACACGCTCGAAGAGTTAAAACCGAACGAAGGAAGAAAGAGAAAGAGAGTAAAATAACTCCAAAATTTAATATAGAGACAACCGAAAAAGGCCTCTTTATTAATATTTTGTCTCTTATTTATAGAGAAGTGTTTTGTACAATTACAGAAAGAAAAAGAGAGTAGTTACAGAAAAAAGAGAGTAGTTATAGAAATTACTCTTAATATAATTGATGTTCTAATTAATCATATGTATTTCATATCATATATGTATTACAATTTAAATTCTAATATGACGATATTCGTTTGGACTTACTTGAATTCGACTGACTGAGGCGGCCAATGGAGTGGCAACCGTGCCTTGGTCGTGGCTCTCGATCGAGTATTGATCTTGTTCGTCGTCAACCAATTAACCGTGATCAAAGGTTTGTGTTTGTGCTTTGGTCAGTTGAGACTGCAAGCGTGGTCTATCGTTTGGATTTCTCATCATAGTATATCGGTCGATTCTTGATCACAAGGTTGGATGTAGGACGGTAGGACGCCTTGATCGTCAGGTCGTCATCTGGACCATTCGATTACTTTGAGATTCGTGCTCACAGCTTTGGTGTATAGAATGAGGTTCACAAGAATGATTTATTATATTCTTAGGATATATAAAGCAATATTTTACAGAGCTAAGAAACAGGCGATATATTATAAATCACATCAAATCATAGCATTAGGGAAAACAAGCAAAATGCTCTTTATATTTGACCTACAATCAAAATATGAAAGCATAAAAGTGGTGAAAAGTTGAAAGCACCAAGTACAAAATTTGACATGCAACATTGAGAATGATTGGAAGCTTAGGACCTTATTCTAAGAACCTAAAGATGATGGCCTTGTAAAGATGCTATCAAAGAATGAACAATTTCTTGTGTGTGCTCATTTGTTTCTCTTTAGTATGGCTATTGTGATTTGATGATAACGAATTGCAAAACTTTAACAATATGTTAATTTTATTAGTGTATATTGTAGATGTATAAATGAGAATATATTAGAAGTCCTAACTATTTTTTTTCTTTTAAGTACAGGCTTCCAATGATTTCCAGTGAATTTTTTCCCTCAGTTCAATAAAAAAGAATATTTTGATGGAATTATGGTCAATTTTGACGGTCAAATCCGCCAAAAAAACATTAGTGTTGGTTGAGCAGGATCTGAACTCTGAGCGGAAACTTATACTGGAGTGGTCTGAGTCTGATCCAGTCTCTTTTCGGGAATGTCGTTCCAAACTGCGTTCCAGTCATCACCCGCTGCGTGAAAGTGAATCGGAACAATCGGGTCAGCCGAAATTCTATTGACTAGTCAGAAATCAGCTGACAGCCTGTTCTAAAACCTGCTGGTAATTAGTATTTACATAGAAAATTTGATGTCTTCCAATTAGAACTAGGAGATTTTCCTTGCAGGCTCCAGTAATGAAAACTAATTGCGTCTTGCAATGTGCCAAGGCCTACTAGCTTTGTAAAGGTGAAAACAAACTTAAATTTCTCTCTCTAATAAAATTAAAGAGAAAAATTTACATTTACGGGGCTCTCAAAACCCAATATTTCGCTAACATTTGCAGCCAATATCAGATTCTATTGCCTGCTAAGTTGTCCAGTGGGAAGCACCTTCCTTTTCTAATTTTAGGGCCGTTTCTCTGATATGATATGAAGGAGGTTGTACATAACAGTATCAATAAGAAAGCTATTCCAAACAGTCAGCTTTACTAAAGGCCAAGTACTTAGGACCTAAGCTTCTCACAATGGCCAAGCACTCCGCTATTGTGCTTATTCCCAAACAAATTCATAACAAAGTAATTATTTATAAGAATAATATCTGGCTGTTGAGATTCTCAAAAGCTCTTCTTCCAAGTCTCCTAAACAAAAAAACTATGTTTCAAAATTGACTAAATGAATATTTTATTGTTTCCACTTTGGATTCATGGGATGTCGTTCTTTTTGTTGCCTTTATTGTGAATGATTTGCAGATTAGACAATGATGATTGTATTAGCTATTTCCCATCTTAACTGCCAAGGAATTTGCAGTAAGTATTGCAATTTAGTAGTTAATGATAGTTGAAATGTTTGTAAGATGCTTGGACAACTCTCTTATCTTTTTAGGCATTCTCCACTTCATTTTATCTTCAATTTATGGTAAAAATTACACGCACCAAAGTGCAAGAGAGATCTGGATAGCAGAGAATCTGTGCATAAATTAAAAAAATAAATCACATTATAAATCATACCGCATGTTGTACTTCAAACTGTTTCATATACATAAAATGAAAAATAATAACATGCTGGGAAGGAATTCTGAGAGATTCCATAAACCAAATCCTGCTTTTTCTACACCAGGTACTACAGGAATGGTTCATTTATGAATCCATGAGATCCAAATTCCAAAGGCAAACATAAGATACATAGAGTTAGAAGCTTATTAAAAAATAAACATGCTACACAAGACTGATTGATCATTTAAGTATTCATACCAACAATTTAGCAGCGTTCTCCAGCATCGCATCATTCAATCATCAGCCGTAAAGCCTCACACGCACCGTTATTGGCGCCCGGCATATTGGGCATTTTGTTAATGCTGCACCACAGCTCTTGCAGGTCTAGAGAAGAGATGAAGATTTTTTCTAGTAAAAATATATCATCCTTTTTAAGAACATTTAAGAAAATTTAATAATTTGTTATTTATGAAGCAACTAAACAAGTTTTGAGTAGTCATAGGTAGCATATTTCTACTACATCAAGCATGAACAAAACAGATTTTGACCAACATAGGTTATAGTGTTTGTTTCCTTTGGAAGTGTGAATAGAAAGTGTTTTGGAAGACTTAAATACATACAATTTAATTTCTATGAATTTAACATATCCAACACCTAAACTTCAAATTTTAAATATATGCCCCCTTACCTATGCATGAAAAAGTGTATTTTACTTCTTAAAAGTTCAAATAGTGGTGTTTTTAATGTAATATAAAATATTTGGGTAGTATAAATGTAAAATGTAAATTTAGGTTATTAGACATGTAAATACATAAGAATTGCGTGGTATGCATGTAAATGCCCCTTACTTTTATAGTTAACTACTAAGGAGTTTGACTGTAGTTCCCATTCCTAGAAAACAAAGAGTTGAAACTATTGTTGGTTGGCCTCAAAAAAAGCCTGCATTTACGAAAACTATCAGCATAGGTCTAGTATTGATTATAAATAGGTCTCCAAAAATGTAAAATTCAAAAACTGGCTATATAAACTTTCAAAATCCCCTCAAATTTGTGTGTTGTTGGATGCGGATTTTTCAAGAATGTTATAAACTTCGATGATAACTTTTGTGGGTGAGATTTCCGCTTGTATTGTTTAGAGGCCGAGATGTGACTACTAGTCATATTCTTTATCACAAGTTTGTAATTAATTTTGGCAGGTATGTTTTTATCAAGCTTTATACAGTTTAATTTTCCAATTTCGTGGTGCACTTTTTGATCTTGCATCAAGAGTTTTGATTATTCTCAAATTTCTTGTTTTAAATAATCATCCAAGTGAATTTAAAGTGTCTTTTTGCATCAGAAGATAATAAAATTTGATTAAGCTTGAGTTGAAAAATTGCAAATTGTGATTTATTGTGCTTCCATGCATCACATTATACGTTTGCATCGATAAACCCTAGCAATGAGAACCCATGCATCAAATTTGGTATCAAAGTCTGTCTGCATTATCATGTCAGCTGGAAATAAACAAAATAAATAAATAAAAGATGCATTTAAACAAATTTTCTCAGGCTATTATTATGTGCTACTACTTTCTTGTTATTATATTCAAAATTTTAATCCTACCTCCAACAGGAGAGTTGACCATGTAGAATTTTCAAAATTGATTGAGAGTTCAGAAAGCTCTTCGAACGATAAAAGTAGCGGAACAAGCTCAATTATTTTAAAGACATTAAACTAAACTTAAAAGGGTTGCTCAAAAAAATTAAAATTAAAGATTAGTATGTCATTTGGTGAATAGCCATCAACTACATGACTAATTGAAGCATTTAAAAGAACGGGAATATGATACATTTAAATATTATAGTAAGCAAATAGGTCCTGCAACTAAAAGTTATTTATCTTAGAGACTATTCAATTACCATTATTTGCTTCATCAAATCTTAGGCCAAAAATCAGAAATGAATTAAGTTATAATTCACCAAAACACAAATTTTGAGGCTTTATTCAATTTTTGGTTATTGAGGTAAATTATAATTAGTCATTATGTTAATACAACCTCAATAATAATTAAGATCCCTAAAGCAAAATCATTATTATCTCCTCCAAAGCTTGCCATACATACAGCACCACAAGAATCATGCATAGTTGAATCATATCTTATTGAAGAAAATGTAATTCATTACTATCCTTTTGAAGATGAGCAAAAAAAAGATTTATAATCACAATTGGATGCAGTTGATGTAGAATCTGAATTAATTACCTACACCATTACATGTTTACAAACTTAAACATGAAATCAAGCAAGAGCTAGAAATCAAATTTGAGATTTAATTTTAGTATGAGAGCAATTACGAACCAACAAAAAATGAACTTAAGATCTTATAAGCTATATTGAAATTAGAACTTAAAGATAAAGCTGAGCTTTAAAAGACATTGAATCGATTCCTAAGCATGAAGTTAAATCATGCATGCTATAGTTGATGAGTTAATTGGTCAAAAAGATAGAACGATTAGAGAATATGTAAATACAAACCCAAATCATGTTAATTGTAGTTGATAAATCAAATAAGGAAACTAATAACCTAAAAAATTATTTGTTAATATTAATTTTATGATGATTGTTCAATCTAGTATTGATTTTGTCATAGGTTTTTCGCTTCTAAATCCAACTCAAAAAAGGAATCCTTTAAAATTAATTATGTCAATGCTTCAATGAATTTTTTACAAGTAATGCCTTAAAGAAAGAATGAAACACAAATTTGCATCTAGTTGGTAAAATTCAAAAGTGAATAATTCATTACAACTAATATTTAAATCATTTTAAGTTAGTTTTGTTTGAAAAGGTTGTTCATTTGTGTGGTTTATTGAAGGGTTATAGTAGTTGAAGAAATCTCTCCTAAACCTAACATTCTAAAAATTAATAACGACATAACGTTAATAATGCTTGCTCCTAAATCACATAAAACTTTTCCAACAAATTTTTCTCCTATGGCGCCAGGAATAGTAAAACTCCTAAGTTCAACAGTCTCATAATCTCCAAACTTTTTCTTCTTATTAAGAATGTCTTTCATAAACTTTACATAGTTGAGCCTTTACTCCAGACCTTCAGCGAAAGAAATATTAATAGTTAACTTCTTAAATATTTTTCAAAAATTTTGAAAATTGTTGATCCAGTTTTTGTTCTGTTGTCTAAGCCTTTGAGAAAATAGAGGTGGTGTTTTTTCTAAGTTAATCCTAGTCGAAGATATTGGTTTTTCCAAATCCTTAGAAATATATTCTTCAGGTCTTTCAGTTTCCACGGTCTATGTCTCAATCTCAGTCTCTCTTTGAACTACATCCTCCATCTCCTTTTCACTTCTTAGTTGGACAGCTTTAACTTGCTCTTTATTTTTCTCTTTAGAGTTTATCTCAATGTTGCTAGGAAAAATTCCTTGGGGCCTTTTGTTAAGTGAGTTGGCAATTTTTCCTAGTTGATTATCTATATTTCTTATCGTTGCAACTTGCCTTTGCAAATGATTTCTCATTTGCAACACAACCTCCTCTAAGACAACTTATTCTCCTTAAATTGTGGATTATTGTTAAAGTCTGGTGGATAAGAAGGTCTATAGTTGGTACTACCCAGATTATTCCAGTTTCCTACAGAATTTACTTGATTATTTCCCCATTGTTGCTTTCCACCTCCAGAATTATTATTTCAGTTAAAAATAGGATAGTTCTTCCAACCTGGGTTATAAAAGTTGGAATAAGGGTTGATAAGTCTGTTGTTAATGGCATTTAAGGTCTCTAATGATGAAGTGTTAGAATCAACCATTTGTACTGATGAATTTTCCTTAATAGTTGGTGGCATTTGAGATTGATTCATTCCAAAATGATCTAGCTTTCTAGATATCGCTATAACCTGAGAAGTAAGAATTGACAACACATTCAGATAATGTGCACTAGCTATCTTTCTAGGATTTAACCTTTCAAAAGACCATTGAAAATTATTTGTAGTCATCTCTTCAATTAAAAAGTAAATTTCATCAAAGGGCTTCGACATGAGCGAACCACCAACAACAGCGTCAATGATAGATCTAAGGGATCCTACTAATCCATTTTAAAAATTTGAATGATTAACCAATCAGACAAAATATGACGTGGACACTTTCTAAGAAGTTCTTTAATCTTTCTCATTCTTCATATATCGATTCACCTTCATATTGTCAAAATGAGGCATTATCATTTCTAAGTTTAGTAGTTTTTGAAGGTGAAAAATGCTTAGCTAGAAATTTCAGAGCTAAGTCGCCCCAAGTTCTGATGGATCCAGATGCTAATGAATTCAATAACATTTTAGTTTTATCCTTTAAGGAAAAGGGAAAAGGTCGAAGTCTAACAGTGTCATTTGACATGCCATTATAATGAAATGTAGTGCACAGTTCTAGAAAACTTGCTAAGAGTAAATTTAGATCTTCAGATGCAACTCTCTTAAACTGGTCGTTCCGCACCATTTGGATAATTGCAGGTTTCAGCTCAAATGTTTTAGCTTCTACGGCAGGATTTTGTATACTTAAATGAATTTCATCAACCGTAAGATTAACAAAATCCCTTAATGGTCTATGCGCGTTATGATGTTCATTTTCTGGTATTTGATTATCTAAATTGCTCTATTGAGTATTCGTCATTTCTTCTATAAATTAGTGAAGTCCTTTTTGTTTTCTAATATTTCTAATTATTTTTTCTAATTCATAATCGCAGGGTACAAGCCCTGAAGATCCTGCATTACACATACACAACTAAAGTTCAATAAGTAAATTACAGAAAAGAACATAAAACAAATACTCAAATATAATATTTTTTTTACTACCTAAAACACACAAACACTTACACAAATAAATTACAACACGATTTTCTAAATCTAAGTCTAATTAGTTCAATTAAAATTTTCCTAAGTCAAATTAACCGTCGCACTTCCCCGGGAACGGCGCAAGAAATTGACCGATGTGTTGGATACCGAGTTTTTTTTGGATGAAATATTTGAAATCTAAAATTTTTTTTATAAATTTTATAACTTGATTTTTTCCACAATTTAGCACTACACACTAAATATTTTACACAAGCATATATATCATTTTAAATAATATCAAATTTTTTAGTCTGAAGTATCGATCTCACAGGAAAGACTGTTATTTTAAATAATTAAGAAAAGATCTAGCCTACAATAATAAGTCTTAACCTGGAAGTAAAGTAGATTTAAATTGTACATATAAAATTCTACCAAATTATCACTAAACCTAATGATTTATTCTAAAATTAATTTTATTAAAGTTAAATAAATTGAGAAAGATCAAGTTATGAAAAATACCCTCCCCTTGCAATGAAATAAGTAATTTGTGAAGGATTGAGCATTTAGAATATAGATTGTAA